GATTACTTGAGCCCATGGATTCGAGACCAGCCTGGGCAACATGGTGAGACCTCGTCTCTACAATAAATCAAAAAATTAGCCAGGCACGGTAGCACACACCTGTAGTTCCAGCTACTTGGAAGGCAGAGACGGAAGGATAACTGGAGCCCAGCAGGTTGACGCTGCGGTGGCCATGAGCATGCCATTATACTGCAGCCTAGGTGACAGAGTGAGACTCTGACTCAAAAATAAAAATAAAAAAGAACTATAAGCCAGAGAGTGGCACCATATGGACTCTCGTGTTCCCTGCCATCTGTGTTTATCTCACCATTAAGACTTTCAGCTTGATTCTTCCCAGCTACCGCTTTTAGCTCTCATCCTTGACCTGAATGCAGATTCTCCCATCACATTGACTCTTCAGGTGTTTTGAATAAATACTCTTCCCTCTGATGTGGAAGAAGCTGCTCATTGTCCTACCCTATGGATAACCATAAACATTCTTTAAGCTGGATACTTTTGAGAGTAGAATGAAGCTCTATCAATAATTATGCTGAGACAGCAAGTGTAAGTTGGGACCAGCCTCTGCAATCCAGGTAGTCACCGTAGGCATGTGGCCATTGGCTCAGCTGACTCCAGCACACAGGTGGAACCAAGACTCCCTTTCTAGCTAAGCATCTGGTCTGGAGGCTGGGAGGTCAGCTGGAGACGCTGTCTCCAGCCCGAGCACCTTACCAGGTTAGTGTATTTGCCTCCTTGGAGCTAAGACGGCATTCAGAGCCAGAGTTACACTGATCACCCTTCCGGGCCCAGAAATAATATTAATTGCTGCTGCTTTATAAAGTTATAATCTCACAGCCTAAGAAAGATAAAAGGAACATAATAAATATTCATGCTTTTTGAGTAAAATATTATAGATTTTGAGATCAGGCTGCAAAATTTGGTGGAAGTAACATCTAAAAAACTTTCATAATAGGATTCTACTGGGTTATTTTTATCATAATAATAATGACAAGATATCTTATTAGATTCAAATGTAGTTTGTAGTACAGCCCACAGACCTTTAATCCGAAAAAGCTAAAAATTTAGCTCTGAAAACTGGGTGGAAGGGGGAGTTTATTACAAGCTTATTTAACAGCAAAACTTGATTTGAATTAATATGAAGCTTATATCATCTTTATCTCACTTAGTGTGAATATTCACATTTTGTTGCAGAAATAGTAATGTTTGATTCCTTCCATAAACTCCAAAAGATAATATTATGTAATTTATGTTATATACACCATATTACCTGTCCAAACATGCCTGACTCAAAAAGTTTCTTTTTTTTTATTTTTAATTTTAAAGATGTGGGGTACAATTCAGGGCTAGGTATACAAATCCAAAAAGTTTCTGAGAAGGGATTTTGACTCTAGTACTTGGCCTGTTACTTTGTATTTCAATTAATAGTTAATAATTATTAATAATTAATCTCTATAAATTAGGCAAGCACAAACCTCAGGCGAATTTGCCCCTACTTGGCTACTGATCCCTATGTGGTGTATACTTTAAGAACTATATAGTATTAGTTTCTAGTTCAGAATTAGTACCTTAAGCCTTTTGAAGGAAAAAGCAATATTGATTGATAAAAAATTGAGAAATGAATAAAAATGGTTACTAGCCTATTGAGCCCAGACTTCCCATTCTACAATGGTATACTATGGAACGAGGAGGAGACTTTCTTTCCCATCGTGTGGGGAAATGTGGTCACATGTACTGCTCATTTCACTGTGTGCTATGTATGTAAGAAAGACACTCGTGCCCCCTTGGAGCATGACAGGAGCCTCCAGACACGCTCTTACACCTTCTGAGTTCAGAAAAGCTTACGACAAGTAGTTAGATGTTTTCCACTAGTTTAGAAAAAGGCTTTTCTCTTCTTTTCTCAAGGAACATATTTTCCTTAAGCCCAAAGGTGGAGAGAGAATGTAGTAGGTGTTGAGTTCTTTACTCAGACTTAACTGTGTGGTTGCCAAGCTCCAAGAAAGCCCTCAATGATTCTCACCTCTTGGTATTCACACTCCTGTGTAGTTCCTTTTGTATCAAATAGAGTTGGCCTGTGTAACCAACAGGATTTTGCAGAAATGGCTTAGTGTGACTTCTGATGTTAGGTCATAAAGGATATTATGGTTTTTGCCTTGCTCTCTGCCTCCTGGGAGGCTAGCTGTGGTATAATGAGAACACTCAAGGATCCCCGTGAAAAGGTCCAGCAGCAAGGAGCTAAGGACACCAACTAACAGCCAGCACTAAATTGCCAGACATGTGAGTGAGCCACCTTGGAAGTGGATTCTCCAGCCTTCAGGTGACTGTATGTAGTCCCAGCCACCCACTTGATTTCAAGTTCATAAAATACCTCAAGCCAGCATAACTCATTAAGCCTCTCCCGGATTCCTGATCCACAGAAACTGAGAGAAGCAAAAAATATTTGTTGTTTTACACTGCTGAGTTTTTAGGTAATTTGTTACATAGAAATAGATAGCCAATACACCTAGAAAATGAAAATATCAGCCAGGCGCAGTGGCTCAAACCTGTAATCCCTGCACTTTGGGAGGATGAGGTGAGGGGATTGCCTGATCCCACGGGTTCAAGATCAACCTGAACGAGACCTCATCTCTAAAATAAATTTAAAAATTAGCCAGATGTGGTAGCGTGAACCTATAGTACTAGCTACTGGGAAGGCTGAGGTGGAAGGATTGCCAGAGCCCAGAAGGTCGACAATGGGGTGGGCAGGAGCGTTCCACTGCACTCCAGCCTGGGCAACAGAGTGAGACTCCAACTCAAAAAAACAAACAAAAAAAAAGGAAATAAAAATATCCTATAATATCTACAATTTGTGGCCTGTAGTTCCAGATTTTCTTCATGTCCATACTAATACTAATGTGCGTAGATACAAACACATGTATATTTTAATTGACACTGGATTATATTAAGCATACTGTCCTCCAGCTTACATGACTTGCTTATGTATCTTGGGATATCTTTCATTTAAGTTCACATGGATCTGTGTCATTTGTTAATATATCTCCAAGTGTTTTATTGTATGGGCTTTACCTTTTGGGGGAGGTTGAAGTCTCACTCTGTTGCCTGGGATGGAGTGCAGTAGCATGATGATGGCTACTGCAGCGTTGACCTGCTGGGCTCAGGCAATCCTTCTGCCTCAGCCTTCCAAGTAGTTGGAACTACAGGCATATACCCTACGCCTGGCTAATTCTTTGATTTATTGTAGAGATAAGTCTTGCCAAGTTGCCCAGGCTGGCCTCGAACCTCTGGGCTCAGGCAATCCTCTCCTCCGCTTCCCAAAGTGCTGGGATTACAGACATGAGCTGCCATGCCCAGCCTTCCATTCTTAAAAAAAAAAAAAAACCAGTAACTTATATAGCTGTACAAGTGGTTTTTGTTTACATGGATGAATGGTGATGTCTGGGCCTTTAGTGTACCCGTCACCTGAATAGTGTACATTGTACCTGATAGGTAATTTTTTATCCCTCATCCCCCTTCCACCCTCCCCCCTCTGAGTCTCCAGTGTCCATCATAACATTCTGTATGTATTTGCATACCCATAGCTTAACTCCTACTTACAAGTGAGAACATGGGTATTTGGTTTTACATTCCTACATCACTTCACTTAAGCATCCAATTCCATCCAAGTCACTGCAAAAGACATTTCATTCTTTTTTGTCTATGTAGTATTCCATGGTGTGTGTGTGTGTGTGTGTGTGTGTGTGTGTGTGTGTACGTGTGTGTACATATATATGTACATATATGTGTGTGTGTGTTTGTATAATATTTTCTTTATCCACTCTTCGGTTGTTGGGTACTTAGGTTGATTCCACATCCCTTGAATTGTTAGTTGTGCTGCCATAAGCATACAAGTGCCGATGTTTTCTTTGTATACTGGATTCTTTTCCTTTGTGTAGATACTCCGTAATGAGATTGCTGGATCGAATGGTAGAACTACTTTTAGTTCTTTGAGAACTCTCCATACTGTTAATTTCTTATTGGAGAATATTTTATCTGATTCCAATTTCCGGAAATACAAACAATGATACAGTGAATGAACATATGGGTTAATCTCTGGGATCTATTTCTGGAAGCAGAAATTCTGAGTCAAAAAGATACATTTAAAATTCTGATAGATATTTCGAAATTGGCCTCACAAAAAGTTGTACCAATGTATTTGCCCAGGGAATATGAATGTCTATTTCCCAATACTCTTTTTTTTTTTTTTTTTTTTTTTGAGTTGGAGTTTCACTCTGTCACCCAGGCTGGAGGGTAATCCTTCCATCTCAGTCTTCCAAGTAGCTGGAACTACAGGCACACGCCACCATACCCGGCTAATTTTTTGATTTATTGTAGAGATGAGGTCTCGCCAAGTTGTCCAGGCTGGTCTTAAACCCATGGGCTCAGGCAATCCTCTCACTTGGGCCTCCCAAAGTACTGGGATTATAGGTGTGAGCTACCGCGCCTAGCCTATTTCCCAATACTCTCAACAACACTGAGTATCCACAGTCATTACCAATCAGGTAGGTGAAAAACAACTCATTGTTTTCTTTTGTGCTCATTAGTCATCTTTTCATATGTTTATCAGTTATTTGTATTTCTTCTGCTTGGCGTTAACTGACTTTTTTGCCTATCTTGAAACTAGGTTGTTTGTCTTATATATTGACTTGTAAGACCCCTTTGCATATCGACATGTAAAACTCTTTGCCCAAATCATATTTTATAGGAAATTGCCCCCAACTTATTGTTGAAACTGACTTTTAACATTTTTTGAATCATTGTTAGAAACTTCTACGTCATATGTGATTCTGTCTGAGTGTTATATAACTGATGAAATGGACTTTACAACTATAGTTTTTAAAGTGGTTAAAATGAAAATTAAAAATAAACAAGAAAGCATTTCCTGTTTCTACACATATTAACTGTTACTCTGTTTACCTTTGGTATCAGTGACCCAGTTAATTCATATTCCTACTATTTCCTTCTAGTGTGCCAAATACTATATCCACCGAATTCCAAGAAGCCGTGAGGTTCAGCAGTCCTGGCTGTCTGCGGCATTTACCACCTTGCGCTCCATGTGGCTTTCCTTTCCCCTGGTTCACCGGGTGAAGCCAGATTTGGTATGTAAGGCCATCACTAGGGACAGGGAAAGTAACTGTCCTATAGTTCTTTCATTAGGAGCAGGATATATTGTTTTCTTAAACAACTGTCATTTATCAGTGTGCCGGGTAGTATGCTAGACCCTTTACTAACATATGCTAAAATTGATCATTTAAATTCACTTTGCTAAAAGAGAGGAGAACTTTGCATTCCCGTTCTAGTTATAACTTGAACTCTAAATTTGCCCTTTTGTCCTCCTTATCTCATGGTGATAACCACTAACAGACCAGTCTCTTTAACCAGTGTATGGACCTATCTAGCTGTAGTTCCTAACTGACATCATGTGCTCATCAGCCAGAGACAAGCCAGTTCTTTACTCCTTTTCAATAGTCTTTTTTGTTTTTGCCAAGACTCTGTTACCAAGTATGATATGCAATGGCCAGAATGTAAAAGACACCCAGGTTTTTATAGAAAAATAGAACAGAAAATAGAAAAGTGAAAACTTAATTAGTGTGCTCCCTGTTCAGTCTTGCTTTCCTTATCTATAGAAGTCCTTAGTTCTCTTGTCTTTGGAATGAAGTATATATTATTAAATTTCAAATGTAATTCAGTAGACATGCAGAGCAGTGGCTATCACAGTAGTGTTCACAGTTCTTAAATAATACTCTCATTTCTATTGAAGGCAGAATCTATTAAATGCTATAGCCTGAAAGAAAATGTTTTGCTTGCTTTCTAGATACATGACTTTTGGCATGGCATGTTTTTCTCTTATGAATTGTTGTACAGAATTGTGTTTAGCTATAATGATTTTGAAAGTTTTCTATCAGTTTATTAATTGTGTTTCATCAGCTGGATTGCAGTTCATTCCCTCTTTTGGATGATAATTTTATTTTATTTTTTTCATTTTATTTTATTTTTAAAATGTGGGGTACAATTCAAGATTAGGTATACAAGTGATCATCGTGCAGCTAAAGTTTGAGTCTCCCTTTGTGAATGAGAATTTTACAATCTGAATTTTTTACATGAGTAGTTTAGATTGTTTTCAAAAGACATAATTTACATTCAGTGAAATGCATGGCTCTTACGTGGTCTGACAGTTAAGTTCACGCACTTGCCACTGTGTGCTTACATTGGCAGCACTATACAGACAACTTTGTAAAGTTTCATAACCTTGGTATATTAGTGTCTCACAGCTGTGCTCGTGACAACATGTGGTGCTATCTTGCTGAGTGGCCTTCATTATTATTGTTGCATGTATTTGTGTGTCATTGCAAGAATGTTGGAGCTTGAATTAGGGCAACAGGCAGACATTAAATTTCTTGTTAAACTTGGCAAGAGTGTAAAGTCTATCATACTCAGTGATCTGTCACAGAAACAAAGAACTGAGTACCACATGTTCTCACTCATAAGCAGACCCTGAACATTTACCATAATACAATGGGAAAGGGATTGGCAGTAGCAGGACATTGTGGGGCACATAGCATCAATAAGGGTAACTGATCTCAAACCAGGTGAAGTGGGGACCAAAGGGATGCCCAAACTTTACCTGTACGATAACCACTTATATACCTAAATCTGAATTTTACCCCACATCTTTAAAATAAAATAAACTTGGCAGCAGTGGAAGTAAAATCAGGGACCTGTTATTCCAAGTTTATGAGGATAATGCTATGAAGAAAATGGCTGTGTACAAATGGATGAAACGTTTTTCTGAGGGGAGAGAGAGCATCACTGATGAAGAGAGGTCAGGACAACCAGTAAGGAGCAGAACTGAGAAAAAAATTGCAAAAATTCGTAAAGTTGTGCATGAAAATCATCAGCTGACTATGAGAAGCATAGCAGATCAAACAAACATTGACAAAGAAACTTTAGGAATATCTTTTTTTTTTAACTAACTCATTATAGAAGCCACTCTCACTGGCAATAACTAGCTTGAGTGCAGCAACATTAGGACTTGATGATGTTAAGGCTCAGAAGGAAATGGTGATGTGATGGATAATGTCTGCTGTGGGTGTAGGGGAGCGCTGGTGACTGCCTGGCCTAGTAGTGGAACACTTGTTCCTCTCGTCCCTTATAGTGAAACACTTCGTAGCAAAAACTGGGTCCAGGCCCACTTTGGCTTTTATTTTATTTTAGTCATTTCCCTTCTGAGCCTCATTTTTCACCTTAAAATAAAAAGATTGAACTAGATATCCTCTCAGTTCCTTCTAAACTAGTCTAAAATTTTTTGAGCACAATAAATTGGCTTGTAAAAAGGGGAAGGGAAAAAAAGATTATGATTTTTTTTTTTTTTTTTTTTTTTAGTTGGAGTCTCACTCTGTCATCAGGCTGGAGTGCAGTAGCACATTCACGGCCACCCCAGCATCAACCTGCTGGGCTCCGGCGATCCTTCCTCCTCAGCCCTCCAAGTAGCCGGAACTACAGGTGCATGCTGCCATGCCCAGCTAATTTTTTTTATTTGTTGTTGAGATGAGGTCTTGCCAAGTTGCCCAGGCTGGTCTTGAACCCACATGCTCAGGCAAGCCACTCACCTTGGCCTCCCAAAGTGCTGGGATTACAGGCTGAGCCACCAAGCCCAGCCTAATTTTTTTATTTATTGTAGAGATGAGGTCTCACCAAGTTGCCCAGGCTGGTCTAGAACCTGCAGGCTCAGGCAATCCACTTGCCTCAGCTTTCCAAAGTGCTGGGATGTTTACAGGCTGAACCACTAAGCCCAGCCAGATTATGATATTTCTAAAGAATGAGAGGAGAAAGCAGGTAAATGTAAGATACTTATTTCCATTTTATTTTTATTTGTATTTTTTTTTAGTTGGAGTCTCACTCTGTCACCCAGGCTGTAGTGCAGTGGCATGCTCATGGCTACCACAGCCTCAACATACTGGGCTCAGGCCATCCTTCTGCCTCAGGCTTCCAAGTTACTAGAACTACAGGCATGTGCCACTACACCCAGCTAATTTTTTTTATTTTTTGTAGGGAAGAGGTCTCGACAAGTTGCCTAGGCTGGTCTCTAACCTGTGGGCTTAGGCAGGACTCTCACCTAGCCCTCCCAAAGTTCTGGGATTATAGGTGTGAGTCACCATACCCTGCCCTTATTTCCATTTTAAACTGAGTTAGTTAAAAAAAATTCTATCAGACCTGAGCATTATCCCATCAACTACTCAGATGTGGTTGTCTTCACCAAATGAGTTTCCACTTAATGAAATTCCTTTACAGAGAAGAAAGTTAATGGTTAAAAGGCCTTTTTAAAGCCGTTCTCGGTGGCTCAGCCTGTAATCCTGCGCCTTTGGGAGGCTAAGGTGAGTGGATTGCCTGAGTCTGTGGGTTCGAGACCCGCCTGGGCAGCGAGACCTCATCTCTACAATAAATCAAAAAATCAGCCGGGCATGGTAGCACATGCCTGTAATTCCGGCTACTTGGAAGGCTGAGGTGGAAGGATCGCCGGAGCCCAGCAGGTCGAGGCTGTGGTGACCAGGAGTGGCCACTGCACTCCAGTATGGGTGACAGAGTGAGACTCCAACTCAAAAAAAAAAAAGGCCTTTTTAATTACACTGAAAAAAGACTACAACATGCAAATCTCTCCTATATTCATCTGCAGTGAACTGAATGTTAGTGTCTTCCCCAAATTCATACCCCCATTCATATACCATACCAGGTGATAGCATTAAGAAGTGGGTCCTTTGGGAAGTGATTAGACATGAGGACAGTGGCATCATGAATGGAATTAGAACCCTTATATAAAAGACCCCAGAGTGTTCCCTCATCTCTTCTACCATGTGAGGTTACACTGAGAAGAAAGCTGTCTGAAGAAGCAGGCCCTCACCAGAGACTGAACTGACTGGTCCCTTGATCTTGGACTGTCCAGGCTTCAGAACTGTGAGAAATAAATATGTACTGTTTACAAACCAATTCGTTTATACTATTTTGTTATAGCAGCTGACATGGACTAAGATATCATCCTTGGCTTTTTTGTGACTTTTATCACAAAGCACTATTTCTTCTTTTAAAAAGTGAAAAAAAGGAGCTTGCTTCCAAGTTGCGAGAGTGGAGCAGCCGCCTCGACTGTGGGGCTGTGCTTGGTTCTAGGACGCGGAGCCAAGGGAGAGCTGATGAGTTCCTTCTGAAGTCTCAAGATGGAAAAAGGAGCCCACAAAGAGAAAAATAAGTGGGACCAAGACTGCAAACTGCTGAATAGACAGACTGTAAAGCAGAGGGAAAAGTGAACAAAACCAGAAGACCCTCATAAGGAAGAACAGGTCATTGCAGAAGAGAAATAAAAGCAACCCCACCTTCCCTCAAAAACAGAATTGAAGAGGGGGAGGGAAAGGGGGAGAGGGAGAAAAATCTACAGAAATGAAGAAAAACCAAAAGAAGAGTATGGGTCTCTCCCAGACGCCTGGGAGAGCAGACACTGAGAAAACTGACTTTGGAATACAAACAATGCAAAGTCCCCAGAATGAAGGGTCTCAAAATGCAAATGTAGATATCAAAACAATAATGGAGAGATTAAAAAGAATTGAGGAGACACAAGAAGAAACTAGGAAGGAGCTGATATCTGAGATAACAGTAATAAAGAATACTGTGAATGAAATAAATAACAAATTGATAAGCATGGAAAGCAGAATTACCCAAGCAGAAGAAAGAATCTCAGAGCTTGAGGACCAAAATATAGAAATAACCCAAACTCTTAAAAACACAGAAAATAAGCTAAAAAAGACAGAACAAAACCTTCAAGAGATGAGTGACTACCTCAAGAGGCCTAACCTAAGAATAATCGGACTCCCTGAGGCAGAAAGAGAAACAGAGACCACATTGGAACAAACTTTCCACGAGATCATTCAAGAAAATTTCCCTCATCTAATCAGTGATACAAAAATTCAAACACAAGAGATTCAGAGAACCCCCGCAAGACAACAAATGAGAAGACCAACTCCTAGACACATAATAATTCGCCTAAATAAAGTAGGCACAAAAGAAAAAATCCTAAAGGCAGCAAGAGAAAAAGGCCAGATCACCCACCATGGAAGACCAATCAGAATAGCAGCAGATTTATC